GAAACAACTCTAGTAGCAGAGTCACCAGCTCCAGCGCCTCCCGCAGCAGGGCCCCAGGCTCGAGCAGCGCGACCCTGACGACCAAGGTACCACTCACGCAGCGGTTGTGGGGAGAGGAGGAGTCGACGACAAGAGTGCAGCGGCGAGGCACCAGCGGAGCGACTACGCAGACGGCCGCTCCAGGGAGACTGCTCACCAGACGCCTCAGCGCCCCCACGTGCAGCACCCCCAGACTCACTACCTCCAGGCTCTGCACCCCCACACTCCGCACCCCCAGGCTCCGCACCTCCAGGCTCCGCAGCCCTAGGCTCAGCACCCCCAGGCTCCGCACCCCCAGGTTCAGCACCCCCAGAAGCAGCACCCCAAGCAAGACCACCCTCAGCAGGACCTCAGTCACCAGTGACCTCAACCGGCGCAGTCAAGGGAGGAGGGTCTACCTGAGACACACCTAAAGGAGCAGGACCGGGAGCGGGGAGGGGGTCTACCTGGGGAGCACCTGGAGCGAGGAAGAGCGGCGGGGGGGGGGGGGGGGGGGGGAGAGAGGCATTGCAGTAGGGGAAGAGACGGTAAAAGGGAACAGACTCGTCGAACGTGACGTTCTGAGAAGGGAAGACACGGCGTGAGGTGGGGTGGTAAAACTGGCAACCATGTTGGATGCACGTCATTCTGAGTGCATGTCATCCTAACGTCCTGCCGAGTGCTTGTGCTATTCATGCGTGCATTGTTTCCATGAGCATATGTCATTGTGCATGGCTGTTGGATATTATCATCTCTGTGTTTTTCTCCAAGTTTAAATGCTTGATCATTCAGGAAATCCGGAGCTTTCCAACGATACCAAGATCGCCTTATTCCGACCAAGATCGCCCAAGTTACAAGATTTCCAAGACTTGGATTTCTTATTACCTTTTGGGGTTATATATAATTTGGGTGATTACTTGGACATGATTAGGAAGGCAACTTTGACTTTTGGATTGGGGTGGCTAGAAGTTTCTAGCATGGGTTGCAAATGTTGCAACACCTAGGCAAAATCCAACTAGATTGGATTTTGCATGTGACACCTCAAGACCTCATGATGAGGGTTGCATCCTTGCTGCTAGGAAGATTCCTACCATCCTTTTCTAGCTCTTGGAGAACCCCTTCCCTCTCATGGTTCTCTTGGAGTCCTCAACTCCAACTTTCCATGTCTACATGCTTGTACTTCCTCTTCCATTCTAGTCATGCGGTTGCTGGACGTTTTTACTCCGTTCTCACTCTCTAGACCATCTTAACGACTGAATCAACTTGGAGATGGTACCTAAGGCTAAGGCGCACAATCCTACTAAGCGGATTTGCGTTTAGTTGAGCAATGTGTTCGTCGTAAGCTCTCAAAGTGACGGATCCTGAACAACAAACTAGGCGCGTCTGGGACAAAGCCAAGGAAGACATAGGGAATAGCGCAGGCAGAGAGCTGGTCCGCCGCGGTATCGCGGACAAAGACACGAGCGCCCCAGACCCAGAAACGCGAGACATCAAAACCTTCCCCGTCCACAGCAGTGTGGGCGAGGTCTCTGGAAAGGAGATACAGGGCAAGAGGTTGAGCTGATGTGCGGCGTACCGGACAGCAAACGGCCACAGAAAATGGGGGGCAGCCGCATGGATCATGGAGGTATGAGCGACCTCCATGACTAAGCCAATGCGGCGCTCAGCAACCCCATTCTGCTACCGAGAGGTCCGAAACGTGAACGTCTGGTTGATGCCGTGCTCCGCACAGAAGGCTGCCAAGAGGTCTGAGGAGAACTCACCACCTCTGTCAGAGTGCAGACGCAGGACAGGAAACTCCGACTGGAACCGCTCGCGGAGCTGGAGACGAGTAGCGCAGATCCAAGGGATCAAAACATCAGGGACCTCCCCCTTGCGCTGCAAGGGGAAGACCGTGGTGTAACGCGTGTAGTCGTGGACGACCAGCAGGAAGTACCGCTCGTGGCCATGTCCACAGATGCGGGCTGGGCCCCACACGTCTAGGTGGAGAGTCTGCAGGGGAGCCTCTGTGGGATGGAACGAGGAGGAGTGAGGAGTGGCGCGCTGCCGCCCCTCGACACAGGGAAGACAGGGAGGAGCTGGCGAGGGTGGGAAGGGAGGGAGAACCCTGGTAAGACCAGAGACAAGGACTCGGCGATGCATGCTACGAAGGCGCTGCACCAAGGGGTGACCAAGACGGTGGTGCCAAAGGAGAGTCTGGTGCGACAAGGCGCGACACGAGCACGGGGCCACTAGCTGACCTGGCGCAGACGCAGACGCAGCGACCAGAGGGGACACAGTAGTCAGTGTGTACAAACTTGAGCCAAGCGCACGGGTAAACGTGGCCAGGTGCCGAGCCCGTCTGGGAGCACGTACAGTGGGTCACGCGCTGACCTCCAAGAGTGAACTGGTCAACCCACTGGTCCTGGAGGTCAGCACCACTCACCAAGTTTGTACAGAACGAGGGGAGGTGAAGACCTGACAGGGAGCCAGACGGGACCGCCAGACACGGCAAGACCGTGGAGGAGTGCGCAAGGACTGGACCCCCAGAGGGGTCTGCCAGGGAGACTGGAACCGGCCGGCTGAGCGGCGTGAGGGTGGTGTTGTCGCGAAAGAAGGAGCAGGAAGCACCTGAGTCAAGTGTGAAGGTGTACAAGGCCTCAGCAGGCGCAGTACCAGAGAGAGCAGACTCACTAGCACATGGAGCAGCAGCCTCACCAGCACCTAGAGCAGGAGACGCACTAGCACCTAGAGCAACAGCCTCACCATCACCTAGAGCAGGAGACGCAAGAGCACCTAGAGCAGTAGCCTCACCAGCACCTAGAGCAGGAGACGCACGAGCACCTAGAGCAGCAGCCTCACCAGCACCGAGAGCAGCAGGCTCTATACCTGGGTCAGGCGGTACGCACAGGTAACAAGCACAGTCAGCACTGGTAGGCAATGCATACATGGAAGTGAGAATAGCATCATAGTCAAGAGCAAATATATCTACCCTCTGCCCAAGCAGCTCCACCCTGTTGGGGAGCTCAACGTCGTCGCCAAACTCAGTACGCCAGGCGTTGCTCAGACGGGCGAAGCAGCGGGACTGTGTGTGACTAAGCGTCCCGGAAGCTTGACCAGTCCGATCACCTGTGCAAATGACGTACGGGCAGCGAACGGTACTCAAAGACCCTCTACTCTGAGCGTACCACTCACGAAGCTGCTGGGGCGTAAGTGTCTCGGGCAGACGCCGCTATAGCTACAGCTGGCCACTGCGAAACGCTCCCGACTGACCAGCTCCAGGGCGACAGCCACGACGGCTACCGCCACAACCCCAACAAGCGTACCACCCACGAAGCTGCTAGGGCGTGAGAGACTCGCGCGTACGTCGCAGGAGTTGCATCAGGCCACCGTTAGTAGCAGTACTAGCCATTGTAGTGGCAGTAGTAGCAGCAGCAGCGCAGGCAGGGCAGGCGCGGCAGGCAGGCAGGCCGGCAGGCAGGCAGACAGGCAAGCAGAGGGCGTGGCAGTGCGCGAACAAGGCAGGTGCTCACCAGTGGCGGGTAGGGCCGACGCTCGACGGGACCGCAACAGCGGCTGCAGAGTAGGGCCGCGGCAGCTGCAGGGCGGGGCCGCGTTAGCGGCAGGTCGGGGCCGCGTCAGCTGCAGGGCTGGCGAGGCCGCGTCGGCGTCCAGGGCGCGTCCGCGTCACAGGAAGGGCAGGGCCGCGTTGGCAGCATCGAGGCAGAGTCAGAGGCAGGGCAGGGGCACGTCGGCAGCAGGGCGTGGCCGCGTCAGAGGTAGGGCCGGGCCGCGTCGGTGGCAGGGCGTGGCCGCGTCAGAGGCAGGGCGGGGCCGCGTCCCCAGCAGGGTGCGGCCGCGTCAGAGGTAGGGCAGAGCCGCGTCGACTGCAGGGCGCGGCAGCGTCAGAGGCAGGGCGGGCCGCGTCGGCGGCAGGGCGCGGCTGCGTCGGCAACAGGGTGCGGCCGCATCAGAGGCAGGGCGGGGCCAGGTCGGTGGCAGGGCGCGGCCGCATCAGAGGCAGGGCAGGCCGCGTCGGCGGCAGAGCGCAGCCGCGTCAGAGGAAGGGCGGGGCCACGTCGGCAGCAGGGTGCGGCCGCGTCAGAGGCAGGGCGGGGCCGCGATGACGGCAGGGCGCGGCCGCGTCAGAGGCAAGGCGGGCCGCGTCGGCAAAAGGGCGCGGCCGCGTCGGCAGCAAGGCACGGCCGCGTAAGAGGCAGGGCGGGGCCGCGTCAGTGGCAGAGCGCGGCGGCGTCAGAGGCAGGGCGGGCCGCGTCGGCAGCTGGGTGCGGCCGCGTTAGAGGCAGAGGGGGCTGGGTCGACGGAAGGGCGCGGCCGCGTCAGAGGCAGGGTGGGGCGCGTCGGCGGCAGGGCGCGGCCGCGTCGGCAATAGGGCGCGGCCGCGTAAAAGGCAAGGCGGTGCCGCATCGGCAGCAGGTTGCGGCCGTTTTAAAGGCATGGCGGGGCCGCGTCAGAGGCAAGGCGGGCTGCGTCGGCGGCAGGGCGCGGCTGCGTCAGAGGGAGGGCAGGCCGCGTCGGCGGCAAGGCGCGGCCGCGTCAGAGGCAAGGCAGGGCCGCGTTGGCAGCAGGGTGCGGCCGCGTCAGAGGCAGGGCAAGGCCGCGATGACGGCAGGGCGCGGCCGCGTTTGAGGCAGGGCGAGCCGCGTCGGCGGCCAGGCGCGGCCGCGTCGGCAGCAGGGCGCGGCCGCGTCAGAGGCAGGGCGGGGCCGCGTCAGCAGCAGGGTGTGGCCGCGTCAGAGGCAGGGCGGGGCAGCGTCGACGGCAGGGCGCAGCCGCGTCAGAGGCAGGGCGGGCCGTGTCGGCGGCAAAGCGCGACTGCGTCGGCAGCAGGGTGCAGCCGCGTCAGAGGCACGGCGGGGCGGCGTCGGTGGCAGGGCGCGGCTGCGTCAGAGGCAGAGCAGGCCGCGTCGGCGGCAGGGCGCGGCCTTGTCAGAGGTAGGGTGGGGCCGCGTCGGCAGCGCGGAGGCGTCTGAGGCAAGGCTATGCCACGACGACGGCAGGGCGCGGCTGCGTTAGAGGAAGGGCGGGCCGCGTCGGCGGCAGGGCGCGGCCGCGTCGGCAGCAGGGCGCCGCCGCGTCAGAGGCAAGGCAAGGCCGCGTGGGCAGCCGGGTGCGGCCGCGTCAGAGGCAGGGCGGGGTCGCGTCGACGGCAGGGCGCAGCCGCGTCAGAGGCAGGGCATGCCGCGTCGGCGGCAGGGGGCGGCCGCGTCAGTAGCAAGGTGCAGCCACGTCGGAGGCAGAGCGAGGCGGCGTCGGTGGCAGGGCGCGGCTGCGTCAAAGGCAGGGCAGGCCGCGTCGGTGGCAGAGCGCGGCCGCGTCAGAGGCAGGGTGGGGCCGCATTGGCAGCAGGGTGCGGCCGCGTAAGAGGCAGGGCAAGGCTGCGACGACGGCAGGGCGCGGCCGCGTTAGAGGCAAGGCAAGCCGCGTCGGCGGCAGGGTGCGGCCGCGTCGGCAGCAGGGCGCGACCGCGTCAGAGGCAGGGCGGGGCCGCGTCGACAGCGGGGCGCGGCCGTGTCAGAGGCAGGGCGGGCCGCATCAGCGGCAGGGCGCGGCCGCTTCAGAGGTAGGGCGGGCCGCGTCAGCGGCAGGGTGCGGCCGCGTCGGCAGCAGGGTGCGGCAGCGTCAGAGGCAGGGCGGGGTCGCGTCGACGGCAGGGCGCGACCGCGTCAGAGGCAAGGCCGGCCGCGTTGGCGGCAGGGCGGGGCTGCGTCGGCGGCAGGGCACGGCTGCGTCAGAGGCAGGGCAGGCTGCGTCGGCGACAGGGCGCGGCCGCGTCAGAGGCAGGGCGGGGCCGCGTCCGCAGCAGGGTGCATCCGCGTCAGAGGCAGGGCAAGGCCGCGACGACCGCAAGGCGCGGCCGAGTCAGAGGCAGGGCGGGCCGCGTTGGCGGCAGGGCGCGGCCGCGTTGGCAGCAGGGCGCGGCCGCGTCAGAGGCAGGGCGTGGCCGGGTCGGTGGCAGGGCACGGCTGCGTCAGAGGCAGGGCAGGCCACGTCGACAGCAGGGCGCGGCCGCGTCACAGGCGGGGTGGGGCTGCGTCGGCAGCAGGGTGCGGCCGCGTGTGAGGCAGGGCAAGGCCGCGAGGACGGCAGGGCGCGGTTGCGTCAGAGGCGGGGCGGGCCGCGTCGGCGGCAGGGCGCGGCCGCGTCTGCAGCAGGGCGCGGCCGCATCAGAGGCAGGGCAGGGCCGCGTGGGCAGCAGGGTGCGGCCGCGTTAGAGGCAGGGCGGGGTCGTGTCGACAGCAGGGCGCAGCCGCGTCAGAGGCAGGGCGGGCCGCGTCGTTGGCAGGGCACGGCCGCGTCGGCAGCAGGGTGCAGCCGCGTCAGAGGCAGAGCGAGGCGGCCTCGATGACAGGGCGCGGCTGCGTCAGAGGCAGGGCAGGCCGCGTCGGCAGCAGGGCGCGGCCGCGTCAGAGGCAGGGTGGGGCCGCGTTGGCTGCAGGGTGCGGCCGCGTCAGAGGCAAGGCAAGGCCGCCATGACGGCAGGGCGCGGCCGCGTCAGAGGCAAGGCGGGCCGCGTCGGCGGCAGGGTGCGGCCTCGTCGGCAGCAGGGCGCGGCCGCGTCAAAGGCAGGGCGGGGCTGCGTCGGAAGCAGGGTGCGACTGCGTCAGAGGCAGGGCGGGGCCGCGTCGACGGCAGGGCGCGGCCGCGTCAGAGGCAAGGCGGGCCGCGTCGGCGGCAAGGCGCGGCCGCATCAGAGGCAAGGCGGGCCGCATCGGCGGTAGGGCGCGGCCGCGTCAGAGGCAAGGCGGGCCGCGTCGGCGGCAAGGTGCGGCCGCGTCGGCAGCAGGGCGCGGCCGCATCAAAGGCAGGGCGGGGCTGAGTCGGCAGGAGGGTGCGGCTGCGTCGGAGGCAGGGCGGGGCCGCGTCGAGGGCAGGGCGCGGCCGCGTTAGAGGCAAGGCAGGCCGCGTTGGCGACAGGGCGCTGCCGCGTCGGCTGTAGAGTGCGGCCGCGTCAGAGGCAGGGCGGGGCCGTGTCGGTGGCAGGGCGCGGCTGCGTCAGAAACAGGGCAGGCAGCGTCGACGTCAGGGCGCGGCCGCATCAGAGGCAGGGCGGGGCTGCGTCGGCAGCACGGTGCAGCCGCGTAAGACGAAGGGCAAGGCCGCGACGACGGCAAGGCGCGGCCGAGTCAGAGGCAGGGCAGGCCGCGTCGGCGGCAGGGCGCAGCCGCGTCGGCAGCAGGGCGCGGCCGCGTCATAAGCAGGGCGGGGCCGCGTCGGTGGCAGGGCGCGGCTGCGTCAGAGGGAGGGCAGGCCGCGTCGGCGGCAGGGTTCGGCCGCGTCAGAGGCAGGGTAAGGCCGCGACGACGGCACGGCGCGGCCGCATCAGAGGCAGGGCGGGCCGCGTCGGCGGCAGGGCGCGGCCGCGTCGGTAGCACGGCGCGGTCGCGTAAGAGGCAGGGCGGGGCCGCGTCGGTGGCAGGGCGTGGCCGCGTCAGAGGCAAGGCTGGGCTGCGTTGACGACAGGGCGCGGCCGCGTCTGAGGCAAGGCGTGCCGCGTGAGCGGCAGGGCGCGGCCGCTTCAGAGGCAAGGGTGGGCTGCGTTGACGGCAGGGAGCGGCCGCGTCAGAGGCAGGGTGGGCCGCGTCGGCTGTAGGGCGTGGCCGCGTCGGCAGCAGGGCGCGACCGAATCAAAGGCAGGGCGCGGCCGCGTCAGAGGCAGGGCGGGGCCGCATCGGCAGCAGGGTGCGGCCGCATCAGAGGCAGGGCGCGGCCGCGTCGATGGTAGGGCGCGGCCGCGTCGAAGGCAGGGCGCGGCCGCGTCAAAGGCAGGGCGGGCCGCGTCGGTGGCAGGGCGCAGCTGCGTCAAAGGCAGAGCAAGCCGCGTCCGCGGCAGGGCACGGCCGCGTCAGAGCCAGGGCGGGGCCGCGTCGGCAGCAAGGTGCGGCCGCGTCAGAGGCAGGGCAAGGAAGCGACGACGGCAGGGCGCGGCCGCGTCAGAGGCGGGGAGGGCCGCGTCGGCGGCAGGGGGCGGCCGCGTCGGCAGCATGGCGCGGCCGCGTTAGAGGCAAGGCGGGGCCGCGTCGGTGGCAGGGCGTGGCCGCGTCAGAGGCAAGGCGGGCTGCGTCGGCGGCAAGGCGCGGCCGCGTCAGAGGTAGGGCGGGGCCGCGTTGGCAGAGGGTGCGGCCCCGTCAGAGGCAGGGCGGGGCCGCGTCGACGACAGGGCGCCGTCGCTTCATAGGCAGGGCGGGCCGCGTCGGCGAAAGGGCGCGGCCGCGTCGGCAGCAGGGCGCGGCCGCGTCGGCAGCAGGGCGCGGCCACGTCAGAGGCAGGGCAGGGCCGCGTCCACAGCAGGGCACGGCCGCGTCAGAGGCAGGGCGGGGCCGCGTCGACGGCACGGCGCGGCCGCGTCAGAGGCAGGGCGGGCCGCGTCGGCGGCAGGGCGCGGCCGCGTCAGAGGCAGGGCGGGGCCGCGTCGGCAGCAGGGTGTTGCCGCGTCAGAGGCAGGGCAAGGCCGCAACGACGGCAGGGCGCGGCCGCGTCAGAGGCAGGGCGGGCTGCGTCGGCGGTAGGTCGCGGCCGCGTCAGCAGCAGGGTGCGGCCGCGTCACAGGCAGGGCGGGGCCGCGTCGGTGGCAGGGCGCGGCTGCGTCAGAGGTAGGGCACGCTGCGTCGGCGGCAGGGCTCGGCCGCGTCAGAGCCAGGGCGGGGCCGCGTCAGCAGCAGGGTGCGGCCGCGTCAGAGGCAGGGCAAGGCCGCGGCGACGGCAGGGTGCGGCCGCGTCAGAGGCAGGGTGGGCCGCGTCGGCGGCAGGGCGCGGCCGCGTCGGCAGCAGGGAGCGGCCGCGTTAGAGGCAGGGCGGGGCTGCGTCGGAGGCAGGGCGTGGCCGCGTCAGAGGCAAGGCGGGCGGTGTCGGCGGCAAGGCGCGGCCGCGTCAGAGGTAGGGCGGGGCCCATCGGCAGAGGGTGCGGCCCTGTTAGAGGCAGGGCGGGGCCACGTCGACGACAGGGCGCCGCCGCTTCAGAGGCAGGGCGGGCCGCGTCGGCGGAAGGGCGCGGCCGCGTCGGCAGCAGGGCGCGGCCGCATCAGAGGCAGGGCGGGGCCGCGTCGATGGTAGGGCACGGCCGCGTGAGAGGCAGGGCGGGGCTGTGTCGACGGCACGGCGCGGCCGCGTCAGAGGCAGGGCGGGGCCGCGTCGGCAGAAGGGTGTTGCCGCGTTAGAGGCGCGGCAAGGCCGCGACGACGGCAGGGCGCGGCTGCGTTAGAGGCAGGGCGGGCCGCGTCGGCGGCAGGTCGCGGCCGCGTTGGCAGCAGGGAACGGCCGCGTCAGAGGCAGGGCGCGGCCGCGTCGACGGCAGGGCGCGGCCGTGTCAGAGGCTGGGCGGGCCACGTCTGAGGCAGGGCGCGGCCGCGTCAGAGGCAGGTTGGGGCTTCGTCGACGGCAGGGCGCGGCCGTGTCTGAGGCAGGGCGGGCTGCGTCGGCGGCAGGGCGCGACCGCGTCGGCAGCAGGGCGCGGCCGAATCAAAGGCAAGGCGGGGCCGCGTTGGCAACAGGGTGCGGCCGAGTCAGAGGCAGGGCGGGGCCCCGTCAACGACAGGGCACGGCCGCGTTAGAGGCATTGCAGGGCCGCGTCGGCAGCAGGGCGCGGCCGCGTCAGAGGCGGGGCGGGGCCGCATCGGCAGTAGGGTGCAGCCGCGTCAGAGGCGGGGCGGGGCCGCGTCAGTGGCAGGGCGCGGCCGCGTCAGTGGCAAGGCGGGGCCGGGTCATCGGCAGGGCGGGCCGCGACAGCGACCTGGCGGGGCTGCGCTCTAGCCTGACGGGCCTACAGGGGTGGCTCGCGGGCCTGACAGTCCTGCATGGGCGGCTTGTGGGCCTTACGAGCCTGCAGGGGTGGCGCACGGGCCTTAAAGGCCTGCAGGGGAAGCGCGCTGGCCTAGGGCAGCTGGAGGCAGCGCGAGGGCTGTAGGACGGCGCCACAACGCAGCATGTCACAAGGCAAGGCAGGCAGGCGCAGGACAACACGTGGGGTAGTGCGGTAATCGCATCGGTAGGTGGGCCCGAAAAAAAAGACGGTCCTACGGACCTAGTGCTCTGAAACCATGTTAGAGTCTAGGAGCAGGAATAATTGCACTATTGAAGAGTTGGGTACAAGTATGAAACCCTAAACGGGGCTGTACCCCATATTGGCTACCCCACTACAGCCTACACACATATAACATGCATATACTTAGACACCCTGTGGTCCCCATGCCTAAGGAGAGGCAAGTGCCAGCAAGCGTCAGAACCAAGGGTGAAGCGGTTGGTAGCGGCTACGGCGCGAACGATGGCGCCAAGGCGAATGAGTCCAACAAGTGCAAACATGGGGGGACCAGCAAGTTGTGTGAATTTAAGGAGAGTGGTGCAGCAGCCAAGTTGCAGCACAAGGGTGAGGAGAACCCCGAGGCAGCAGCGGAGGAGGACTACAGAGAGAGTCTGTGGGGCGCTATTGCGAGCGCGGCATTCTCCAATCCGACTTCGGCTACGAGGGAGTGTGATTGGCTCACCTTGCATCGGCAAATGGGGCATGTGGCCCTGCCCGTCTTGCAGCAGCTAGTGAAGAATGAGATGGTTGCTGGCATACGTGTGACGTGGTTCTGCGAAGGAGTGCGACGGTCGCCCAGGCGAAGTTGGCGAGTCCGACCTCGGTGGTGGTATCCCGAGGTCGACGTGGCGGATCAGGTGGAGCCGTCAGCACGAGGATGACTTGGTGCGTGCGCTGTTCAGGTGACGAAGCTTAGCCCGCCAATCATCTGCGAACACCTGTGAAGCTCGTGCGCTGCTGTTCTGCGGGAGCAACGCTGGCACGCCGTCGACCTGCAGCGTTGGCACGCCGTCAACTTTGCACTGCTGGAACGCGGTCGACCAAGTCGTGCTGGAACGCGGTCGACCATGCTGCGCTGGCAGTCGACCGACCTGAATGCTAGCTCTGATGTAGTCTCGTCTTGCCAACCTGATTGCACCATTGTTGTCAAATTTCTTAGTAAAACTCTTGCCAAATTGCCCCATAAACTAGCAAGCAGTGTGAGCACTAGGAAAATGACTAAGGACCAGCGAATGCCGAGATCAAACGAGCACCCGTGCCTAGCCCGTAGTCTAGCTCCCGTTGCAGTAGTTATCTTCGCATGGTGCGGTGAGCGTGGCAGCACACGACTTACCTTTCAGTCAGGTCGACATAGAGGTCACTTACCTAAGTCGTTCGTAGGCCGGTAGCCGTGAAGTCACTAGCGTGCGCGTAGGTGACGCCTAGGGAATGGATACCCTCGAAGCACAGTTGGAGGACGCGAGGACACGCCATGGGGCCCAGGAGTACGGACCAATCCCCTGGGCGGTTGTGGAGGCTGGCATTCGCACCATGTGGGTGACGTTGCACCC